CTTTCCTGCCATAAGATCAGGGGAGTGGCTGGAAGACAGCAATGAGCAAAGGAATAGCAGTAGAAAGTCTGAAAAGGGAGAAATCCAGAGAAAGGGGCAAAGGCAGGTGAGGGGGTTGGGGCTGAAAGTGGCGACGAAAGCAGACGACAGAATATTGCTAGATCATTTCTTACCTTAACTTTTTGATATTCTAATATTTTTAAACAAATCTTACCTCACCTTATCCTCTTTCAGGACTGTCCGAACTATTTATCCCAAAAATACCGCACCATTGACGGGACTTGCAACAACAGGCGAAGCCAGGGCGCCGCACGCACACTAGCTCGGAGACTCGTACCTTCTGCCTACGACGATGGTGAGGAAAGTTTGCGTCTTTTTCCACACCAAAAGATCCATTTGTACATGTCAATGACTACCAAAATGACTGAAATGCTATTTATGGAAAACCCTTCTTTATGTTATGGATTTGAATGCTGCACAATCACTGAAGACAATGAAAATAAAATAGAAGCAACAGAAATGGGTTTCGTTTCTTAGGAGACTGCTGAGAATATCGTGAAAGGAAAAGAAATCAAATTAATGAGGTTGTGCTTGAATGAAGCCCATGTGGGACGCTCACTGTCAAAAATAATCTGGAAACACATAAAGGTATTGAACATCTCGCTCTCACTGGCCAAATTGAAGGCAAACGAGTCAGGGGCACGCCCAGAGCAATCTACTCAGGAAACCTAAACAAATGGGTGACGGAGAAAGATCGTAACTTTTTTAAAGAGCATCCGAGCAAAAGAAGGAATAGAGAACCATGATCGTCCGTGTCTGTAGCAGATCTGGCACTGGATGATGATGATGATGATGATGATGATTTTCAAAAGAAAATGTTTCCGAATCCTAATCGAGCATCGGCTCGGTCCGACGTTGTGTTCTTGTGAAAGGAACTTTACACGTATTTCCCACTTGGCTCGGTCCTTTTTGAGATGGACGTTACGGAGGTCCCTCCTCTTAAATAACCTAATAGTTGGGGCGTTGGACCTTCACCATTTCTCTTTCCTAAAAGGCCTACACGTTAATTTATAGATGATGCGACATATTATCTAGGTGTGAATTTCAAATAAAAGAGCTATAAAAAACTGTTGCAAGTGCCGTAAGACTTTTATCAAAACAAAGTTATCCCTCTCTCCCATCTCTTTCTCTCACACTCTTTCTATATCTCCCCAGTTTATGAAAAGCCCCGACAGACAGCAGTTAGCGGTAAGCCGTTGCCCAGTGCAAGAGCAGTCAGCATAGCCGCTCATCCACCCACATCCAGGAAGCTGGGACTCACGAACATGGTCATGCAATGGGGGCAGTTCATAGACCACGACATCACCGCCTTCCCTGTCGCTACTGGTCTGTGATTGTGTGGTGTTCGTGTGTGGCGTTCGTTGTGTCTTGTGTGTGTTATGTCTTGTGAGTGTCGTGTGTTATGTCTTATGAGTGTCGTGTGTTATGTCTTATGAGTGTCGTGTGTTATGTCTTGTGAGTGTCGTGTGTTGTCGTGTGTTTTGTCTTGTGAGTGTCGTGTGTTTTGTCTTGTGAGTGTCGTGTGTTTTGTCTTGTGAGTGTCGTGTGTTATGTCTTGTGAGTGTCGTGTGTTCTGTAAGTGTGCGCGTGTCTTGAGTAAGTGTGGCGTTCGCGTGTCGTGTGTGTGGTGTGTCTTGTGTATGTCGTGTGGTGTGTCTTGTGTATGTCGTGTGGTGTGTCTTGTGTATGTCGTGTGGTGTGTCTTGTGTATGTCGTGTGGTGTGTCTTGTGTATGTCGTGTGGTGTGTCTTGTGTAAGTGTGTGGTGTGTCTTTCGTGGTGTTGTCTGTTGCGTTAGTGTGTCGATTGTTGTGTGCGTCCATATACTGTGGGGTGTGTCGTGTGTAGTGTCTTGTGTATCGTGTGTTGTGTATCGTGTGTAAGTGTGTGGTGTGTGCTGTGTCTTGTGTGTGTCGTGTGGTGTGTCTTGTGTGTGTCGTGTGGTGTGTAGGTGTGTCCTGTGTCTTGTGTTGGTGTGTGGTCCGCGGGTGCTCTGGTGGGGTTTTCTTTGTTACATCTATCATCTGTATCTTCCCTTATCTTCCCTCGTCTTTTGTCTTTTACCCTCTTGTAATACCTCTGACTGTCGGCACTTACATAGCCTTGTTGTGTTTCAAGCGCCGTAAAACACTGACTAAAACTAAATTAAAACAAACCATCCACAGAGCTAGATTCGACCATCAAGTGTTGTGGATCAAACAGTTCCATCCCACAACTATGCAAGGACGAGTGAGTAAATGTTTTTGACTTACATGACTAGATCTATGTGGGTGGTTTGCGGGTGCTCAACTGTGGTTTGTTCCTTCTTTTCTACCAAACATATATCTCTTTTTCTTTTTGTGTTTGTTACTCTCTTGTACCACCTCTAATCTTCGGCACTTATATGACCTTCTTCTGTTGCAAGCGCCGTAAAACTCTTACTAAACTAAGACTAGATCTATGTGAAAACAGTACACTGGCTTGTAAAAAAACCCAAAGGAATTATACTTTATTCCAAAATGAGGATGATGACGATGATGACGATTTTTCATCGCCATCATCACGGGCACTCTGACAGCTCAGTCGGTATCATGTTGGACTACGGAGCGGATAGCCCTGGTTCGAATCCCAGACCTGGTGTTTCCCCCCTGGAGCGGTACTACTGACTGAAGTGTCTTCCCTAAGGGGGATATTAACATGTTCTTTATGCACAGCAGAATTGTAAATGGGCTGATTCACCAATGTCATGTTCTTAATTGTGCTTGAACAGCTACACGGAACTGTTGCTTTTTCTTTCCTAATCCTTTGTATCGTCATTTTCCTCTACTTCTTTTTTTGTTTGTCACTCTCTTGTGACCCTTTTCCGGGGTGCCTTGATAGTCGAAGCAGACGTGCTGTTGAAGCCAGAGAGGTGAGCAGAGTAAGCCTTGATTCCCTGTATGGACTTTGTTGACATCCACCCCTGGGCCCTCGTATGACCTTATACAGCTGCAAGCGCCGTATGTAAAACCTCTACTAAAAAATTGTTCTTGCCTCCAGGAACTGTTTCCCTATCCTTCTTCCGGCGAACGACGGAGACTTCAGGGGCACGTGCATGGAGTTTGTGAGGTCTGTGGCTGCCAGGGACCCCCAGGGGAACATTTTAAGTGAGTAGTTGCTGAGATGTCGAGTTTAGTCTGACTGCCAGAATGATTCAATGATTGATTGAACTGTGTCTGTCTGTCTGTCTGTCTGTGTCTGTGTCTGCCTCTCTCTGTGTCTGCCTCTCTCTG